TGGGTGTGGGTGTGGGTGGGTGGGTGGGTGTGGAGAAAGAAAAGAACCATCCACACCCACACCCACACCCCACACACCCACACCAACCCACACCCACACCCAAGGGGCCGATAATCAAATAAGAACCGGTATTTCATTACATACACAACCATCGCAACGTGTGTCAAGATCCCAGCGAAAGAGTCGTTTAATCAAGGTCGCCCTCCCCGTATCGTTTGTTAGAACGCTGCGATGCCTACATATTATCTTTCTTTTTCAGCTTTTGACCGTAGAATACTAACCTAAATAAACTATACCCATTCAAAGAAAAATAAAAATAAAAATAATACTCTATCTATGTGGGTTGAGTAATTCTGTGTTTTAATATTGCCTTCTGTTCTCATTCTCACACACACAAAATTTAGCTACTCAAAAAAACAAAAATTATATTTTTCACTCTCACAAAATTTTACCTCTTAACACAATTTACTCAATTTACGGCAACGAATTAAACATGAAGTGCAATCTATTATCATGTCTATTATTCACCATGGTCTTCTTATCGATCACAACAACAACGATGATGATGGTTAATGGTCGACAGTTACATAGCGCCAATGTTATCTGTGAATGTGAATGTTTGAACTGGTCTGAATATAGTAATCCATCAGAGGTAATGGCTAATTGTGATTCCTGCAATGTTGCTGCTTGTCGAAAAATGGGAGGTAGCTGTGAAAGTGGTAGTATATTTCGAATTAGTTGCACTTAAAATCTTCAAGTATTTTTTATTATAAAACAATTACTTTTGAAATAAAGAAAAAGATGGAGCAATAAAAATGACGTATTAAATTATTCATGCGAACTACCGATGAAGTCCTTTTTTATGGAGTGTAACTGAGACAATTAGTTTTCGAAGACACTGCAGAAAACGAATTTCTTTAAGCTCTGGAAAGAGATGTTTTGAACTGTGGAAAAACACTATTGTCGATCTCACAGTTCGAATCCTCGTGCCTCATCAAAATTGATAACCCATTTCTAAAACTAATGCACCAATAATATGAAATAATGATGTCTATGCTATATCCGTAGAAGTACAAACTAATATTTATTCAGGTTCTAATTGATAAGTAATTGGATCATAAACGATTCTTACTTTTCCTTCATATAAACCTGAAGATACTGGACTAACAAGATATTCATCTTCTCTTAATTCAATTTGATTATGATTTTCATTTGGTATCGTCGTTGCATCATAATAAGTTGTTCTGTCAGCAAGGAATATTATTGGTATTTGTTGATCATACCCTATTTGACGTTGTGAAATTAAATTTTTTCAATAATTAATATTTTCATATTGTTTATAATCAACATCAAAAGCGAATGATTTTAGTCCATCAATATATAACGCGTGAGACAGATACAATGGAGCACTTGTTTCCTATCTTTGAGGCATTTAACAACGCCTTGAAAATCTGGCTATGGACCCATTTTATAGAGAATCGGTTTCTCTACAAAACTACTCAATGCATTTTTCAAATTAATCTTTCTTGTTGGCGTAAAATTTCAACGAGTAATCTCTATTCAATAGTCCATTTGCGTTTTCTTATTCTTTCCAGGTATCAATTGATTTGTTTAAGCCAGTGCTCATCAAGATCGATGCTCAAACTAAAGTATTTAACATCATTGGATAGAGTATTGTGTGCTCTACATTTCCAAGAACTTTGAAAGACTTTCCGTACTCTCACTCACGAGAAAAAGCTCTCGAACTAATATCTGGTGCAATTTTTTGGATGCATTGCGGAAAATAATGTTTTTCAAAGAGAGACTCATCATATAAAACGCTGATGCTTATGACAACACATACAGAATTCAATTCTGAGTAAAATGGTATAAATAGTGACTTGAACGGATAAACTGTCTCACTCTTCAGAATTAACAGAGTGCAAAGTCATAGATCTGCCAGAAAAGAGTTTTTTTTTTGAGTGCGTTCACATTTTCAACTTCAAAATCTTTCCTCTCAAATATTTATTCCGAAATTTTGAAAATTACATCGAAAGATAGAGAATTTTTTCCAGAATTTCATGACAAAATTGAAATTTCAACAGGATTGTTTAAAAATATTTCCATAAAACTTTTTGCTTTTTTATTTTCGCAGATGGATTATTAAATAGGAGTTCATTTTTGAAATGTTGTGCCGACAAGAAAGATTAATTTTAAAAATGCATTCAACAGTTTTATAGAGAAATTAATTCTCGATCGAGCGAATTGAGAACTAGATTTTAAAGCCATCGTTAAGTGCCTCAATGATAGAAAACAAAAGTGCTACATTACATTTGCCTCCTAGTTAAAAAGAAAATCTGATCAATATTTGAAAAAAAGCAATTCCATTACCTGCTAATTAGCTTCACGAAGAAGTTCTTTACAACATTTAGCAAATGCTTTGAATAACTTCATTAAATTTTGAACATTCTCTTAACTAAAATAAAATTTTTAATTGATTAAACAAAATTTTTATAATAGTCGTTGAATAAATGGCCATTTTAATTGATTTTCAATTTTCGTAAATGTATCATTGGCACTTTTTTTACTTTGATCATGAATTTCACCAATAGCTTTATTAGGATTATTAACTTGTTCATAATAATTTGTGGCCTATCAGACTATTATTTGCGACCTATATCAATTTCACTAATAGTACGACTACCATTATTTTGAAAAAATTCATTCAGTTTTAATTGAATATTTTTACATATATACTTGCTAAATTATTTATTGTTGCATTTTCTTTTATTAATACAGTAAATTTCCATGATATAAAATTCATATCTGTTGTTCGATTTGATTCAACAGCATGTGTCAATGCAAGAGCATCAATAGGATTGTCAGTGAATTTTTCTAAAATCTTTAGAGATATAACACCAAGAAGAATATATGGAATAGCATGATTTAGTAACGTGAGGGATAACTCTAATAAATATTTTGAAAATGACTCAAATAATCAGAAAAACAATGATTATCTTTATCTTCAAATCCTTTATCAAAGCATCGATGATACTTTTCTATTTCATTCATAAATAACTTTTATGCATATAGTGGAAATATTAAATGTTATACGGATTTTATAATTAAAGAAATAGAAAATTAGAATAAAAAAAACATGATTTTAATGGTAAAAATATTAATTTCCATGAAAAATACTTCGAATGAATCAAGTAATTTATAATTTTACTCAGTTCAATATCAACTGTTGACACGCCAACTAAACTCTTATAGATGATGATGTTAACATACCAGTAATATTAACCCCAATATGGTTTCTTACTGATTTAACTATATTATGTCGTAATAGATTTGAAGATATATCATCTTCAACTGAAGTTCTTTGATTAATACCTATTATTCATAATGAATTACCAATAAGACTACGGATCGTACTTTCATCTAAAACTGTCGTAGGTTCAAGAAATCCTTGAGAGCGGCTATGGGTGTGGGTCTTAATTTCTGCTTATCCACACCCATGCCCTAAAATGAAATAACAATAAAATAGTATATAAATGTGCTTTAATAAAAATAATTCATGAAATACAGAGTTAATTTCACGAACGCGTTTCGTAGTGTTCATTAAAATATTAAAAAACTCATCAGAGCTCTGCATTGTATTTTTTTAAGAAGAAGCAAGAAAACAAAAAAAAAATAAGAATAAACAAAAACACATAAAAGAAAAAAGGGATAATTTTAACTTGTCGCAGCTGTTCAATTTTACCGTAGGTCACTTTGTACTATGTTTGATTTTTCGAGTGGGTGGGTGTGGAGGTGGGTCTTCTCTTCAACCATCCAGCAAAACCCACACTCTCTCATGGATGTCAGCAGAGTTCAAAAAAACATCGAAAGTCACACGTAAAATTTCAAGAGAGACTGCTTTTTTCCACTCTTTTGTAAATGCTAAGGACAAATATTGCTCTGTCATTTAAAATGAAAAATGGAGTCATAATGAATACAAAGTATCATTCCGAGTTGAAGTTACGATTTTTATTTTATATTGTAGCTTCGATCTGTATACACCATATGCGTATTCCCAGCGCATTTTTTATTGCTTTCGTTCTACAGAATAGTTCATCATCAAGGCTTCCATTGTTGACTCTTGTTATCTTGGCCTTGCAAAAGCAAATATAAATATCATAAGTCCATTGCTATACGAAGAATAAAACATTCTTTCATTCACTACTCCTTTTATCGAAAGTAAATCATGGCTGCCATTTTATATGCTTGCGTCTTGTTACTGTTGGTGATCAATGTTGAAGGGCAAAGTAAAGAAAACTTTGAATATCGAATTTTATGAATTGAATATTCTTTTTTTTTGTTGGGCAGCACCGATATGTGGCATGAATGAACAGTATAAGAGTTGTGGCTCGGCCTGTGCCGAAACCTGTGATCACAAACCAGAATTCTGTATTATGGTATGCAAGAGTGGCTGCTTCTGTGAGAACGGATACGTTCGTCAGTCTAACACACCTGGAAGTCCTTGCATTAAACGGGAAGCCTGCAAAAGAAAGGATGATACTCATCTCTGTGGCGCGTACGAAGAATTCGACACTTGCGGCTCAGCGTGTGTTGAAACTTGTGACTACAAGCCTGAAATATGTACAATGCAGTGTGTTGCTGGCTGTTTCTGCAGTGGTCCGAAGTATATTCGACGAGACAACAGTACTGGCAGTCCGTGCATCAGACGCGAGCGATGTCCGAAATAGAGTATAATAAGTTTTTGAGAAAGGTATATTCAACTTTTGTGGAAGTTTAATTTAAAGAAAATAAACAAAACAATTGTCGAAATTCACAATATGTTACTGTTTTAGTCATTCGAATTTAAAGTTCAGACGTTGTTCATCTGTGAAAGAAAGACATTAGCGCTCTATTGAGAGCGGTCAGAAAATATACAACATCGAGTCTGTATGTGATGTTATGTCCAACATCCTCATATTTCAGTAAGAAAAAAAAACAACTTCATGTTTTCTTTCGTGGGTAATTTTGGATTTTTTCTTAGAGTTGACTCTAAGATGACTATTGATACAACTTTCGAGGAATAAAACCGAGAAAAATCAAAAACTACCTCAGTTACCCATCATAAAATGCCAACAAAATGGATGACTTGTTAAATGTTAACCTTATTATTTCTGAAAGATGCAATCGATCTTGTAGACCAGGTTGCTCATTCAAAATGGTATTGCAGTGTGCGAGAAGTAACAGCAAGTGTCTTTCACGTTTACGACATATATATATTCGATTTCATGATGCTGCAGACTTGTTATTGTTTCGTTTACTCATATATTTGATGGATGAGAGTGAGAGGGTGAGGATGAAAAGGGAGTGAGTACGAAATAGTGACCATGATACGTTTCGACTCGGCTAACAGTCTCATCAGGTGACTTTAGTGATGGGTGGTGAGTGTGTGTATGTAGATGAAGAGAAAGCCCACACTCCCACCATCTCACTGGCCGACACCCACATCCAGCACAAAACAATACATTTTACTTAACAGAATATTTTTGCTTCTACAATCAAAACTAAACAATGGCACAACTGAAGTCTTTCAAAATCTCTAGATTTTAAAGGTTTGTTTTTCGAAAATTGCTTCAGTCCATATATGACTACGATTTTTGGTACCATTTTCTTTCAAAACTTACTTATTACAATGACTTGCTACATTACATGAGCTAAAACTCCATTGCAACATAAAACCACAATGACATACAAATCGAACTGTTTTTGAAAAACAACCTTCAAAAACGAAAGATTTTGAACAATTCAAGTCATGTCTTTGTTCAAATTTAATCAAAGAAGAAAAATATTTTCTAATGTGAAATGCATCGTTGTGTGCAGAGTTACATAGTGAGTCCTTTGGTAAAAAGTTCAAAGCTGGAGAATGAAAACAGATTGAAATGTCTTCAAAATATTGAAACCACCATTCATTATGCGTCACTCGTAATACCGCTGTCGAAACACCTAACATTCGAATATGTTTTCCGATATAGTGCCAAAACTATCTCTTGAACAAGAAGTATCTGAAAATCGTATTCATTTCGATGAAGCCATAAATGATTCATTATTTGTTCCTATCGAAGTAGGTTTTTAATTATTCTATATTAGAGACTAAAATAAATCATTCGTTTGCTTTTTTTGTACAGTCACGTTCTTTGCTACTCTATTCACATCGGAATAGAACAGCGACTACAAATTTTTTTTTTATAAAAATGTACTTTGTTGCATTGAAAGCATCAGCTATCTAGCGAGTGATTATTTTGTCTAGGCATGGAATTGTACAATAGATGTCAATTATCAACAATAAGTGAATCTCGAATTGAAACAAGAAACATGTCGCCATCAAAATCGAGATGATCAGAATCGAATGATATCTTGTTTATGAATATCAATATTGATTTTCTTAATAGGCTTCTATTGATGTTACTTCAGCATGCCAGTGCCAACGTTACAGGAACGGTCATTAAAGTACCTATTGATGATTATACACACGTAATCTGTCTTTTATTCGAACAAGGTCAAATCAATGCTATGAAAGTCATTTACAATCCTGACGACAACACATCTACAGAATTGTTCTGTCTCTTGTTCTGAAAAAGTTGGTCACCTCCAATGAGTCAATTGCAGGTTCTCGATCAACAAACAGATGAATTTCGAAAGGTTGCTAATTCTTTTACTGATGATTATTATCAAATTATTCCTATTGAACGAATTGAAAATGAAACATGGCGTATAATATATGAAGAAGAAAAGAAAACAATTGATAAATGCCATTGTTCCAATCAAACTGATTGCGTTCTCTTTTATGGTTGTCTACGAACAACTTCTGAAGCAATTTTACAACGAGGATTCGACAATAGAATCGTCGGTATAACGGATTTTACTTCTTAATAAATTCAGTACATAGTCACATGTACACTTTGTCTGATCTACCACACGGAGATGAACGAACAAGGCTCGTATGTCATGTTATCATGGGTAAAATGCGTTATGGTCATTTGATGATGGCAATCCATGGAGTACAATACGATTTGGTTACCAATGAATCAGAGATTCGTGTCAAATCGATTAGTTGATACATGAAATTGGTAAACTAAGTACAACTAGATGGTATTCGAGTTTCGACTCGAATACGAAATGCGGTGCGAAGCACACGTGCGGAGAATTCGAAAAACGAATTTCGAATCGAAATCGAATAATCTCTCTGAATATCATCACAATTTGTTCTCACATTCTACGTCAAGGTTCAGAGATAATTGAAGATTTTTCTGAGTTAGATACAATCGAAGAAAAAAAACATTTTTATCGAACAGCTGATCTAACGTAGATCGGACCTGAAAGGCATCCATTATGAAATTGATCACTAGAGGAACTCTACTAAAGCGTATCGACAGACTTCTAAAAACTGTTGTTTATTGATCGATTAATTATCTCAATGATTCATTATCTACTATCAGCTGTATTTACAGCTGTTTGACATATGAGAAAAGTAAATGGCGCCTAACTTTGTTTTATTTTTTCAATTTTAATTATCTCAAAACGAAAAGCAAATAATAATTTCATATTTGTCATTTTTGGAAACCGATTATGAGGAAATTAAGCATTTTCAGAACAATATCAATACAAAAGTTACGTGTTCGATCTCGATACTTTGGCTTTGCGTTTAAACGACTGTTTTGTGAGTTTCCATTTTCGAGATCATTGCGTGACAAAATGACAAGTTTGATGCGTACGTATAGTAAAAAAGAAAGAAAAAAAAAACCTCGCGACGGACTACAAAAATGCAGTGCTTCGCACCGCATTAAAAAAAGTAAACTCGCGACGGACTACATAAATGCTCCTGCTTCGCAGGGCATTAAAAATTCATTATCTTCTATCAGCTGCAATTTACAGCTGTTCAATATAGATCTAAACAATGTGGCGCCTAACATTGCTTTGTATTTTCGATTTTAATTATCTCAAAAGTAAACTTTGTCAAAATCGTGTTTTTGGAAGGCCTTTTTTGTGCGAAGCAGACGTCCGATTGCAGATTGTAAAAAGAATTGAAGTATCTCAATCTCGATACTTTAGGCTTGCGTTTGAACGAATAATTTGCGAATTGTGGTTCTCGAGATCATTGCGACACAAAACAACGAGTTGATGTGCGTACGTCGAGAAAGTAAAAGAAAAAAAAAGAAAAAAAGAAAAAAAGAAAAAAAGTAAACTCGCGCACGACTACATAAATGCTGTGCTTCGCACCGCATTAAATATTCGGATACTTCAATCGAGTGACTCTCTCTTCGACGAATTAATGACTTTATTCGAGTTGACGGCTTTGTTCAATATTTGCCATCGAATCAAATCAAATGTTGTTGAATATTGAGACCACCAAATTGTGTAGTATCAATAGTTCCGATTTATTAACAAGCATCTGTACGTTTACAATACCGCTAGAATACAAAAAAAGAAGAAACATCTTGCTTCCTCTTTCCTACCTGTATGAATATTGTCGAATTAGAAAAAAACAAGACAAGTTTTTCTTATTTCATTATCTTGAGTGTATGAATAAATGAACTAATTATTGAAACTATGATATAACTTTTAAAAGAATTTGATGACGTAATGATTTGTGCTGAATTGATTATAATAGAATCCAATATTGAATTGTTTTACATGGATATTGTGTTTCTCAAATCGATATAAAGTTTTTTTCATTTAAGAAAAAAATCTCAAAGTGCAATAAATCATAGGATTGCGTGTGCTGAGGGTGTGGGTGGGTGTGGGTGTGGGGTGTGGGTATTGGTCGTATTGTGAATTCATCCACACCCACACCCCACCCTCGAGCCCATATGAATCGTTGCTCACGATGCTTGTTTGTGAGTAAAAGCTTTTTTAAAGATGGACCATAACTTCCGCCGCTTTCACATAATCAACGTCTAACAGTATGTGGATCAATATTCACGCCGTTCTTTTTTTAGAACTTTTGAAATGTCATTTTATGTAATATTTAGCTCACTTTTGGCAATATTAATAATCTTTGTGTCTGTTTTCTTCGACGTAGCATGTGATTGGTCAGTTTTTGGTAAATTAGACAGATCTTCATTTTGTTGCCATCTGGCAAGGCAATGCCGTACGGCTTATGGTTCACATTCAATGTACTTCGAAATAGCTTTATTTGACATTTTAGAGTCCAGTGGATGTAGCTTGAGAAACACAATTTCATAGAGTTGTAATAGAGAAAGTAGCACGTTTTAAATTTTATGAAAGAATTATGATAAAAACCATTCTCGATACCGATCCACATTTTACAAATTAACAATTTTAACATAAGATAGGGTCATCTGAATCAACAAATAAGAGCAAAGAGGAATGAGAACGACTATTGTTTAGAGCTGGATTAATTTTATATGTTACTTCGATAACAGAAAAAAAAACAAATATTAAAGGTTTCCAAAAAGATAAGGGGAGGAAAAGACATTTACCCAAGGGTATAATATATGGAAGGAAAGAGAA